TATAAATAAATGTCAAAGTAGTACTGTTAAAAAAATATTATTAAGATTTAGTAAAATTTTTCTCAGTGTAAGATTAATACGTAGAACAGATTTGCACTTTCTGTAAAACAACAAATACGTAATCATAGTTTATCGCACTATTGCACAAGTGTCGAGATGCAAATATACAATGCGTGTTTGCGAAATATTTTATTTAAATCACAAATACGGGAAAGCAGGCTCGAACGCGACGACACGAAAACGAAATTATCGTTTCCGTTTTTCCACACGAGTATAAAAATCTACTGTACCACGGCGCTAAGCTGTAAAAAGATTCGAAATTTGTAAAAGCGATCGAAATAGCTACGGTCCTAACCGCCAGTCGGCCCTAGAACACCTCGACAGTACCCAATACTTCCTTGTTCAGGCCTTTTTCGCACACATTAAACTGGAGAAAGCATTATCTTTTGCTTCTCGTTCATCATTCTCACGCACTTTTTTTCCTTTCGCACTCTCTCTCTCTCTCCCTCTCTCTCTCTCTCTCTCTCTCTCTCTCTCTCTCTCTCTCTCTTTCTCCATTGAACGTAAAACTTGGCACTTATGAAAATTAGAAATCTAAAGCGGCAGAGGAAGATCGTAACGATGAGGAAAAAACTTTGAATCTGTTTTGTTACATGTGAACATCAACGAGCCAAAAATACTTGTCGATGTTCATATTGTGATAGTTTCATTTTCTACATTTGCTCGGTATATTTCATACATGATCTAATACTTTATATTAAATAAATCTCGATAATTTCATTATTATTTACGTATTGTTTTAAAAAGTAAATCATTTATATAAAAAAATCAAAAAGGCATATTATACGATAAATCAGTCATCAGTTGTAAAGATTCCGTTCAAATTAAAATTAGTTTACAAAAAAATCGCTTAAAAGTTTAATAAAATTTGGCACATTGCAGTATTATAATAATTTACAACGTTTACTTCATTTTAATAAAAATTAAAATATTAAGATACCTAAACATCTAATTAATTAATTAACAAAGTAAGGAAAAATTGAATACACATCGTTACGAATTTCACTGCTTAAAAGCGAATCCATCTTATGTTTTACATTGCACGTATTTGGGTAGGAAGAATTTATTTTTTTTTTCAAAGACTCTTCCTAACAACAGTAAAGCCGACATGCGTATGACACAAAAGATGGACATTCGTCTTTTATTGTGTAAAGTAAATTAGTAGACAATAAAGTTCTCTCTCTGTTATATGTATTAGAATAAGTTGAGCGTTTTCTGTGTAATAAATATTTCCACGGATTATTGATAAAGCAAGATTTCTATTATATACGCAATGAAAAATTTTGCAGCTGTCCAATTCAAATTATCACTTAATAAAAATGTTTATAAAAAAATAATGATTAATAAATATAAATCTTTTCATAACGTCGTAATCTGCAAATCAATATAAATTAAATTCCTGCATGCTTTTTCTTCTGCATGACTTGGCATATGCTTCAAACGGTTTATTGCCATCTGTTTGGAATTGATTTTACGATAGCATATATCTTCTATTCTAATTGGCAATTGGACGAAACGCTCAACGAATCTAATAATCGCGCAAATTCTCATAGTACAATAACGTATTAACACATAACATATGATACAGTCTACAGGCTAAAATGTACTATATGAACATAACTCGAGTGTGTTAAAATCATTCCTAAGAAAACGCAAAGTCGTTACAATAATCGACAATAATCGAACATCTTATTGCCGTTTATTTTTTACTTAATGTACGAGATTAAAAAAAAATTGCCTTTCCAACGCGGTTCCAACTCCGCTCTTCCTCTTCCATCGACCTTCTTCTCTTTCTTCTCTCACTTTTCTCGTAATCGAATTAATCTCCTGTGTGTATTTTCTTCATCTCTTCTTTTCTTTCTCTTTCCTTTACTGCTCCACGTCATAAAAAGAAGAGCACTTGATTTGTTTGTGATTACTTTCATTTTACATTACCACACGACAAAGCGGACAGAATTTTGACCAAAATATCGCAGGCAGATTTCAAACGAAGAAAAAAATGTAAGAATAATAACGCCAAAAATAAAAAAGAAGATAATCACATCAATCATGCTCGAAATAAAAATCAATAAAGGAATAAAGGTAAAAACTTCGTTACTTGTAGGAAATTTAATTGGAACTTAATGTGGAATGTGTATTTGTTAAATTTTGTATAATTATTTCAGTTTTACATAATTTTCTTTTATTAAGTTATCGAGCTATTTTTATCTTTTTTAACTGCGAAACTGCAGTTTTGTACTTTTATTTCCCAATCACATAACAATGAACAATAAAGAATCAATTTTACGTTATAGTGAGTGGATTTGGTGAGCGAATTTGAATGATGAATTTACTTTTTAAACCGCGTCAACACTTCATTAGTACAGAATTACATCTTTTTGCAAAAGAAAAATTCTAGAGATATAATGAATTGATCTATAAGTTTTAGTTCTATAATATTTAGATCTATAATTTCTAGTGATGTAGACTAGATTGTTACTGTAGAGTAGATTGTCATTTTTCTAAAATAAATATATTTTTAATTCGTATTGTTTAATCGCGGATATTAAAAACTAAATAAGTAAATATAACTTAGAAATATATACCGACATTACAATACGACATTTGCCAATATCATGATTTGTGTATTATATGTTAATATAATTGCGATATTATTGCAAAAAAATTGAAAGCGGTAATGCGATGAGAAATTATCTTATTTGTTCTATAAAAAGGTATAATAATATAAAGAGAGTGGATAACATGAATTTATGTTCGCAAAATCCATTAAATATATGAAATGGAAAATTATCACATTAAATTATTATAAGCAATAATTAACTTTCATCGCAGAATGTACACGTATATATAAACATATTTTACTATTATAATAAAGAGTGTAAAAATATATGAATTTTCGTTACATAAAAAAGATGAATCACATAAAATAAAATAAAATACAATAAAATCTTAATCGTGCATTTTCTACGCATTGGTTCGAATTGCGTCAAAATGCTACAATCATTTATTAACTCGATAATATGCTAATTTAAAAAATATTAATTACTTAAAAATATTATATTTCATTATTTGTTTCGACTTTTTTGACGCAATACAAACATGTTCAACGAATAAAATACACTTATAGTTTTAACATATAAAACAGATAAGCACAGGCAGACAACAATTCAAAATCACACCATGCGCATACTTTACAATGCCGAATCGTCCATAAATAAAAAAAGGAAACTTATCGGGAAAGATATTTAATTTCAATTTTCTGACTGGATTATAATCGCAATAATTTTAGCTCTTTACTTAAAAATAAATATTACTAATACTTAAAATCGTAAAATTGCTATACATAATGAGAACAGGATAAAAATTATGTTATATGATTTTTTCAACTTATATTTGATTTAAAAAATGTTAATATTACTCGCAAATATATTTTATATTACAATTTTTTTAAGAAAACCACTACCGCAATTATAAACTAATCAGAAAAGCATATTGTTACGGTAAAAAGAAAAAGAATACGAGGCATATTCTCCAAATTTAATCAATTAAGTAATTAAAAATCAGGAGGAGTGGTGATATGAAATAATTAATTATAATAGATGCAGGAAGAATAACGATGATTACACAAACGACAAGTCACAATATGATATTGGATCAAGTCGAGGAGACGTGCGCGATTATATGGATCAAGAAAATGTACTTACCACAAATCGATTGACTTTGACCTTCGGTGTGCGCGGGGACTCGTTAGCCTGCGAGCCGAGGGACTCGAAACGAGCTCTAAGACTGCTCGCCGATTCTATGCTGGACTGCTCGCCCGTACCCTGGGCCATCTCTATTTCGGCGACATGGTGATTGCTGACCTTGCCGTCGGTCTCCTCCCAGTGCTCGAACTTAGCACGTAGAGTCTTGGCGCGCGCCGCATTCTGCGCTTGTTTCAAGAATTCGTCCTCCACCTAGCCCGATAACAGGCGAAATGATTCCGTGGATTATAGGGTGGAGTCGTGTCGATCGGGAATAAAGAGCTATTTTCCCGAAATTTTGTACGCGGGACAACGACCTGTCTCGAAAGTTCGTGCCGACTTTTTAAAGCTGTCTAATAACACGTTTAGGCAGTCTTGCTCTGGCCACTTTCGAGATTTTGTAGATCATCACATTTGTTAGTAATTAGGAAATTATATATATCCGGCGTGAAGAAAAAGCTTGTTAGAAAAAAGCAAAAAGAAGAGATAGATTAAAAAATTTCATAATTGAAATTAATAATTCAGTCTTATTTTAACGTTACAGTTTACGCAAGAAATACAAAACAATATCTATAGAAATAGAAAATTTTGAAAAGATACTAATTCGATGTTATGAGACATGTAACTTTTATATCGTTCTTATTGTAGTCCTCTTATATATTTATATCTTTTGTATTTCTTAAAAATTTTTCAATTTTTTGTTAATAAAAAAGTCTTGCACGAGCACAAACCTTATCAGAAGCACGAACGTAGTTGGGATCTCTCTCCTCAGCGCTTTCATCACCGTCGGTTTCCTCGCCCTCTTCATCCTCGCCTTCCTCCGAGTCCGAGGCCGTTGCTTTGGCGAATTTATCCTCGGGGGGCGGTGTGAAACGTTTCAAGGGCTTCGGGCCCTCCGGCAGTTCTTCCTTGCACGCGTTCTCTTCCATCTGCCGAAAGATGGACAGCATCTTCCTCGCAGTGTCTGTGCGCACCACCTCGTCCACCCTGTCGTCGGCTCTGACTACATCTGGATCGCGGTAAATCTCGCGATCCGGTGAATCCATCTGCGAAAGAAAATACATGTTTAACATAACAATCAAATGTAAGTTTAAAAAATCACATAACTTCATTATTATCCCGTTATTAAATAAAGCAATTTTAATTCTACTTAATTATTATTTTTATATAAGATAATATTGAACTATGTTTTCGTAATAAAATTATTTCTTTTATTATCGGAACATGTATTGATTTTTTGAATATATTTCTAGTTGACAAATTCTTTAACAAATTTTTTCGTCTCGCATCATACCGAATACTTTCAATCATATAGGAAGTATATTATATATTATTCTGAAATTATCTTTTAATTAAATTATATAATTCAAAACCATATCTTTTTTTAATTTAATATGAATAGATTTTAAAATACAAAGTAATTATTTTTATCAAAGAGATAAAATTAAATTGTACAAATATATTTTATATGTAAAGAATTAATTGTATTAATTATTTTAATAATTATTAATAATTTATGTAAGTATTTAATTTTTGTACATTAATTATATTTACTTCTTTCTTTTTCATATTTTTTAAAATTTTGTAAACGTATAATATATCATGAAATTATTGCAAGTTGAATATATCTTCGACGTGTATCAACATATTCATTTATCCACATAATTGATGCTGTTTCGAAATTCGTAGAGAGATTATATGATAAGACGACAAGGATAGATAATGCTCGATTAAAAGCACACCTATATTGTTTATCGCTTAATAATTTTAAACTAAATGTTTGAGTCATAATATTGAGTCGGCGGAGAACCCAGCTATAAGCCGGAGATTGAATGGCCGAAATGTTTCATTTTACAAATCGTATCCGGCATGAGTCACTTCGAGGATTCTGAGTCAAGCGTGAGTGCGGTTATAAATCTTATGTAGAAAGTACATATATAGACCTTTTTCTTTTAATAAAAAATATTGTTATAATGATATCAGTAAACGTAATATATTTCTGAGAACTTAAATAATATTTTAAAGAAAAAGTAGCTACATTCATGGATAAAAAAATCAATTGCACTCAAATTACAATCTTGAAAAAAATCAATGTGCTCATGGAAAAATAAATCAATAAGAAGCCATGCAACATACATAAGTGAATTAATAAACATTAGCATGCTTTGCATATTTCAACTAATTGTAAGATACTGCAATATAAGGGTTTCTATTATTATATATAAAACAGAGTCTTTCTTTTCGAGACAAAGGTTTTGACCCTTCTCAATCGCCTGATCGGTCTGTCGACGTTTATACTATACCTGAACCCAAGTGGGTCAGGTAAGTTGAAAACCTGATTGCTGTAGAGTGATCGAAGGTTGTTCGCGTCTTGCGATATTTTAGGAAGACCACCCTTGCGCTAGTTTAAATCGGGATGGGACTAGGACTGTTGACGAATCGACTTTAATTAAACAAAAGGGTTGCGGTACCCGCTTCAAGGTTAGCATTTAATGGCGACAAATTGACAGGTTTAAGAGTGGTATACGCACTCTGTAACGGTCAATTGCCGTCACTTGATCTGTCCATTCGCTTCTCGTTTATGCCAACGAATCAGTACTGCAGCAAAAAGTGTGAGTCGTTTATTTTGAGAACAAAATTCTTAAGAATTTAAAATAAGCACGTTATATATATTACTGAAAGGAAATAATTAAAGTAATTAGAATTGAAATAAATAGTTCGTATAATATGAATTAAAGACGAAAAAAGCGACTATGTATCATACGTTTCAATCATTCTTTGCATTATTAATTAATCGTTTTTAATTGTTTTGCAATGGAAAGATAGAACCGAAAAAAGATAACTAAAATTACATTGTACAACAATCAAATTCTCTCTGAAATATCGTACTACATATTCTAAAGATTTTTTCACATTGAACACGATGTCGTTCATAAAATTGCACATTGTTGTAGACTTTAAAAACAAGTTTTCATTTTGTTGTAAAGAAAAATGTTAAAAAAGTGACTAAAAACCCATTTCACCTCATTTTACTTAACATTCTGATGAGCTACGCAAATTCTGACAATCATGTTCAACGCAAAAAAATTTTCGGAAAATTCATTATGACACTTTGAAGAGAAAGAAAAGTGATTTTTGTCGAACAGTACTATAAATCGATTAAAGATATTGAATAATAAATAAACGTCAAATTAATCCAGTGAGAACTTTCGTTTGAAAATGTCAGGAAATGGAAAACCGATAATTTCCGTGCAATATTAGATTACATGACAGTTTACCGCATTTAGTTTTGAATTAAGGAAATCTCCCGTCACGATACACAAATGAGTTATGTTACTGTTTATTTTTTTAAATTAAAATTGTAAATATAAATATTACACAGAAGATTATATAAAAATAAAGAATAATAAATTAACAAGAAATTGACTGTAAAAATGGTGGTTGCTGCCGCAAAGATATTTCTGTATTCTCTAAAATGAAAAGCACTTCGAAAAGTCTCTAAATTATGCTTGAGAAGTCTCAAAATTAAAAATGCTTGAGAAGTCCCTAAATTAACTCTGAATTAAATCTGAAGATTACAATTTTACTTTCGGTCCTGACAAAATAAAAAGAAAAAAAAAAACGCTTAGTAATATCTTAGTCGGATTTCGCGCTGTGGTAATGGAGTCGAGAGGATCTACGGGAGAGTACTTCCAACGGAATTCCATAAAATCACCAGTCCAGAAAGGATATTTGATCACACGGTATCCCTCTGCCGGCACGTCAAGCGGCAAATCAAGCTACGGCGAGATTGCGCCCCCCCGAGCGACGTCCGTTCCTTCATCGTCGACGGAAACGCTCTTATAATCACACGACGAAGAGATCTCGATTGTATATTCGTCGGAGGCCACTTACGAACAATTAACAATTCGATGAAAACACATTGCGGTTGCACATATTAATCGTTCGCTCTAAATATGTCTGAAGTAATTGAAACTTTCATATGAAAGTCTCACACACGCAATTTTCGCTGTATCTGCAAGCGCATCAGAATGTAATCATTCAATACAGAATAATTTATGATTACGATCTCATATGTTAACAAACATACAGATAGTATTCCGAAAAATACGTTCTGCGATTTATACATTGAAAAAAAAAATCTTAATTTCGAAGAAATATTTCTTTGCTCGTTATTCAAAAAAATTATTTCTTTAAAACAATATCTTATTGCACAAAATATATTATTTTCAAAGAAATTTTCAATGATCCGAAGAAATAATTTTTTTTAATACGAGAAATATTTCTTTAAAATTAAGATTTTTTTTCAGTGTATATTAATATATAGATCGAATGCAAATGTAATTAAACAATTAATTGATGTGCAAATTAATTATTTGAAATTAATTATTTTCAATTGTCCGTAGCGGCCATGAATTGAAACTCAAACATTGCAATTTTTAGAAAGCTTGGATGTTAGATATCAAATATAGTACTTCGAAAAATTCAATCGCGCAGCAATACTCCGAAGTAAATGGAACGTTCATGTACATGAAGTGTGTAATTTTTATGGAAAGTAGAACACAATATTCCTCCTTGAAGAAACCTCGATTACCAAACGGTATCTTGAAAAATTGATTGCAATCGCAGAGCATAATTAACGGCCGCATCGATTGCTTTCCAATTAATTGCCAGAAAGTCTTCCCGTCGATCTTATAAATAAATATGTCATTCATAAAATATTAATAAAAAAAAAATCTTCAATTATAACCGGAGTATTAAGTCTCTAATTTCACAGTCTCTCAAAGAAGAATATGTAAATTATTCGCAGATCGTTAACTATGAACCGAAACGCTCATTATATCCAGGTATTAACGATTCATCAGCCTGCTTTTTGCACCACTTTTTCGGAATGTGCCGCTCAGAAGAAACTTCGGGTAACTAGGTGTTAAAAGCACAGTATTTCCTATCGCAATTACAGAACCGAAGCGTTCGTCGGACCGATAATTACCTTTCCGTGATTATTAAAGCCCCTTCGGCGAGCGGAACGAGACTGAGCGTCGTCGTTCAAACTGCGCGAGTCCGGTTCGCCACTTCGGCGCGCTTCTTGAGGGAGGCTCTCCTTCTCTTCGATTCGTGAGAAGTTCATACGGACGGCGCGACAGCCGGTTGCTATGCCGTTCACAAGAGGATAGGGGACCGACGGTGTGTGCCCTCCTCCCCTGGGAGTGTGTGTGTGTGTGTGTGTGTGTATGTGTGTGAGAAAGAGTTACTGCGAGAGGCCTCGTCGCGCGTCGCGCCTTCCCTCGGTTAAGGTTCCCGGGCCCAACGCGCCGGTACCCGGTCCGCTTGTGTTGCCCCGCTTGCTCTTCACGAATGGAAGGATGTAGGAATACTAACGGTAAAAGTATGGCTGCTGCTGCGCTGACCACTTTGGGAGGGGGTTCAAGGACAGCCCGGTTTGTTGGAATCGACTCGTTGTGTCGTGCGTTCCGCGCGAGGCGCATTGCCGCCGGTTCCCCAAGAGATGCGCGAGGCCCCCTTTTATTTAAGCCGCATCCGCGAACGACAGTGAGACTTTGATAATTATCGATAAACTCCCATCTCACGCCGGGGATGTATTGATAGATGAAAGAAGGCACGAGGGGTTGCTATCCCGGTAAAAAATTTTTCATGCGTGAATATATATAAATGTGAATAAACATACATAAGCATAAATATTCATAAATACGTATATTATATATATGAAATACGTCCATACATGTTCTCCTTTCTTTTAAAAGGAAAATTATTTTTTTAGTGTAATAGAAATAATAATAGTAATGTGAAAACATTAAAAATAATTAAAAAGGTAATTTTCGCAACTATTTGTTTTAGAAAAAAATCACGTTTGAAGAAATGTAAAAAAATTACTTACGCATAATTATATATAAAATTATATTAAGTAATAATTATGTATGAGCATTTTTTTTACATTTTTCTAAACTTGCTTTTTTCTAAAACAAACAATGCGAAAATTATTCCTTTAATTATTTTTTATGTTTTTACATTACTATTATTTATTTCCATTAAAAAATAATTTTGCAAAAGAAAAAAGGATGTATAAACATGTATGGACATATTTCATATATAATTATACATGTTATAAATATTTATGCGTATTTATGTATGTTTATACATATTTATACATATTCGTACATCAAAAATTTTTATATTTTTACGAAATAACAAACGTTTCATTCTTTGAACTCTAATACGAATATTTCATTCCTAAGATATACGTACAATATCAGAAACAAGATTTATGATTCGAACGGAGTACTTTCTTTGTTATAATAGGAATAAAATGTTATTTATAAAAAACACAATTTAAATACCTTATTACTTTTTTATCATTCGGAAAATTTGTTTTATCTGCAATAAAATATCAAAAAATTACAAGGGGAGTCAAAGAGAATGCAGGTGTTGCTTAATCTTGGACACGATCTAAAGTAAAAAAAATAATTAAATATATTGTAAGACTCGGCTTTACTCGGAATAAATTTGATTATATTAAAACGAGAAAGAATCCTCTTCAGTCTGAAAAATGTCGAAACGTTTGAAAATTACTATTAAAAGTTGTTTATTATTTCAATAAAGTTTTATTATAGCATAAATTATCTTACTAGGCTCTAATAGCCTTTCTCGTTTTAATATAAAAAAAAACTTGAAATTTACTTTTAATTATGTAGGTATGGCAATTATAATTTTAATAATTATAATTATCTTTAGCCAAAATTTGGAGTTGATATTTTAGACAAATTTTGAGCAATTAAAGGATAAATGTTATTTAATGGAGAGTTATGTGATCGGAAAATAATACAAAATCACGTTAGTGTTTTTAGTAGTCAAATAAAAAAATAAAACGTACATAAAATGCAGATGATTAAAGACATGATGCAATTTAAAACAGTCAAACATTTCTCGCAAACATTTCTCCTATCTTAATTGAAAATGAGATCATGCTGTTTCTCGTCAAACCAATATCTCCTTTTACAATACGAATTATCTTTTGTATCTCTAATAATAAATCGTGTTAAGATATCTTTACATTTTTTTTCTTTATCAATAACCTGAAAATCCTTCAGATTAAATCGATAATAATATCATTGATAAATGCAATATACTCGGAATACAATATAAATATATAATTATATACTCGTATGATAATAGTACTTTCACAAATAGAAGAAAGTCATTAAAATAATTCTCCAGCAACAGACTATAAAAACTTTATATAGGTATCTATTTTTGTTAATCTAATAATAATCAGTCATTATTAAAAATAAACAATATAATTTAAGCGATAAAAATAAAATTATATTCTTTAATTCGGGTATTTAATTATTCCTGCTTACTACATTCTTATAATTCCATAGACGGTAAAAATTCTTAAGCAAAATCACTCCATCAAATAAATCATGTAGTAAGTCATGACCGTTTAATTAGTCGACACGCATAAGATTGTTAAAGAAAATTAACACAAACATGAATCAATCAACGACAACAAAGTCGAAGGATCGAACCTTGACTTGACCGTCTCGAGGCGGCGTAATGCGAAATTGCTTCCGCTGTTTCTCCGGTTCCTTATAGGACTCAAAGAATTTGAACTTGTTCGAAATTTCCGACGTTTCTACTTGGATCTCCTCGGTCGCATCTGAGCTGCGCACCACATCGTCTGAGACTTGACGACCCATGAACGCCTTTCTCACAAATATTTCAAAAATTATCATTACTGGATGCGTTATTGACATTGCGTATGCGTTTAGTGAAGAACCTCACATTCGAAAAGAAATACATTTGCCTCGAAGGTATATTTCCTTTGTTTAACTATATTACTTTGAATCTTATACTAATCAATGTCACAATCTAAAGCCTTCTTTTGAATAGAAATTATATTAAACAAATTATTTAAATTTTTCAACATATATAGGTACTTACTAAGAAAAAATACATATTTTAATAATTTTAGAATTAATTTTCGAAGCTATAAGTGTTTAAAAGACTGTATATAAAAAATAGAAACATTTTATTCTCGTAATTTTAGCAGACATATTCATGTTTTAATAATTTTCAAAGTGAATCATAAGCTTCGGCTTAACTAAATAATGTACAATAGTAATGTATAATAATGTATAATAGATAAAAGTGACTGAACTTACATCTCGTGCACGTCGTGAGGTTTCGGTTGGCGTTTTTGGATGAACTGGCGTCACTGGACGTCCTGTTTTTGCCGCAGTCGCGTCTAGTTCCAAAAAGAGTGACCGGGACTTCCTGCTGATACCTATGTTTTGCGTGACCAACATATATTATTATAAATATAGATTATCATAAATCACTCATAAATTTAAACTGTCAATTAGTACAGATACTTTCACCCAGCGCAATTCGACAACTCATAACAGCCTATTTTTGTTCGGGACAAAAATAATTTCTCATATAAAGTCAACAAATAATAATATGACCTCTTAACACAGTCTTCTATTCAGTAGAGAGTTTTTGCGCGGAATGTCTCGTATTATAAGAAATACTAGGTTACTTTCTTTTGAGTTTTTCTCTCGAAAGAGTTCATATAAGACAGGTATAGATTAATATCTATAAGATCTTTAAGAATTGTTAATCTGTTATATAAAAATTATTAAGTGCTTTCATTCGCGTGCGCGCACGCAACTTGAATAACTGTTTATATCTTTAAAGTATGAAATGGTACAAACGACTTGTTATATATTTCTCACTGCAACTGGACTTTCGTTACATGGGTACTTCTAAGTTCATCACATAAATTCCTCTCCATTCCTATATGATCACAATTATAATGTAACAAGTAATGCGATCAAACATTTCGTCAGTCTATTTCAAATTACCATCTTGACGTCTAGGTCTTTTCGCAATTCTCTAGTCTTCGCGATTTGCAAGTCATTTAATTGCTGAAAGTCCATTTTATACCTGCTGCGATCACCTCCTCGTCGGCTTTCTCTGGTTTTGGTTTACTGTCAGTTTCGTCGTCTGACGCCGCGATTGGCTCGCCCCGTTCAAATCTCTCTTTGAGGGAGCGAGCGTGGGTAGTCGAGTGTTGAATCTCCTCTGCTGCATTTATCTTCGTAACACGGTCACTTCCAGCTACCGCCTGTTGATACATTTCCTTCATCTTACCCTGTTTACCCTGAAATTGAAGGAAAAGAGAAATTTAAAAAATGGCATTTTTTAAATTAAATTTAGCAAAGTGCGATGTAAAGGAAAAATCTGTCGTATTTAAAGAGCAGGTTTCTGAGGGAAAAACTGGTTAATACATAAACGTTGCGAAAGAAACGTGTGCAGCTGTTCTCTGACAGTTCAATTTACACTTTTATGGTATTACACACGTAATGATAATAAAAAAGACACAAGCATCTGCGTTAATATTATAAAACCGTTATAACGGACGTGTGACTTTTTTCTTAAACCAATAGTATCATAAAATAATAACAACGAAGCTCATTTCTTTCGATCTTATTTAATATTATTCTTTATAGTTTCATATGATAAATTACTGAAATTACCAAGAACAACCGCGAACGAATTCCTGCGATTTCTTCCTTCCTAGCCTCGCGCTGAACCTCGCGTCTTCCCTGCTGGCTGGTGCTCTCCCAACGATTCTTGATGTCGTCCATCTTCGAAAAGCTGATCGGTCGTTCGCGTGTAGTGCGTTTTGACTTTACGATTTCGGTTTCCACTTCTAAAATGAAAAAAATAAACACAATTACAATACAACTTAATACTTTGATTTTTATAATCAATCTCCTAACACCATAATATCACTTTATACTTAACTTTCATAAATTAAATGTAAATTGGTAAGACTTGTTAAAATTTAATATTTTTTATTAGTGGATATTCAATCCATGTGCATGAAAAAAATACGCGGGGTAAGGATAATAAATATCAAATTTCGTCATAAAAGATGAAGTCGTAAGTCACAAATCGATGACATGATACTTATTACAAAATTATGACATAAATATGATGAGATACGTAAGCTTACATAATATGTAATATAAGTTACCAAAATATAACTTATTTTTCTATGCAATAACTAACATTCTTCAATTCTGAAACTCTATCCTGCACCCACATAGATGTGTATCAATTGGATACGCATGACAGTCAAAGTGTTGACATATAAATTTTTTTATCAGAGACAGATTAAAAAATTTGTATTTAAATTGAAAATTTATATTCAACAAGTCTAATAAATCTATAGATTTTTATTGCGTATTTTCTTTTTTAATATTGACAGTATTTTCTTATTGACTACCTTCGGTTTCTTCTGCCTCCACTTCATCCTCACTTTCGCTGGACTCTTCATAAGGTATGCCATTGAGAGATTCGTCCGCCACGCCAATGTCCATGCCTTTCGCTTGAAATCTGGATGAGAAAACGTACGCAGTAGTTATAGATACTTTGCACACGATGGATGCGCCGTTACAGTTGTTGTAACATATTTACTCTGTATTTTCTCGAGTTTCAAGTTACAAGAACGAAACTGCTGACTACTGAATACCATGAAAACCTCGTTTATACCGACTTATATCCACACATATAACATACTAATAAAAAATTACCAATTTATATTTAAATTAACAATTGCCATAATAAAAAAATCCGAACATACGATATCACGATATCACGAAATCTTTTAATACGTTTTTTGATAAATACTAATTGTAGGAAATCAAAATCATAATATAATTATAATAAGAGAGAGGGAGAGAAATATTATATTTATATAAGTGGAACAATTTCGCGAATTAAAATTTTTATTATTTTTAATTAGATTTGAATTATTACTCTAATCCTCTATGTAAAAAATGTATGTAATAATTAATAATTGTATGCTTTGTCGTTTCGAGAAATACCCATCCGGTGAAATTACAGGCTTATTATTATCTTCAACAGAAGTAAATCTGTGTCACGGTATATCATGTTTTAAAATTATCATTGCTCATAGAGAGAGAGAGCAGTATATTATCTAAGAAAGACACAACTTGACTTTACTATCTAATATTTATATATATTTATACATATGTACTAACATTGTCGAGAAAATCTTGGAAATTTTATATATAGTATAAATATACAGATTTTTTAAATTAAAATAATTTAATCTGTAAAAATATATATATATATCCCAAGAAATATGTCACCGATTACTCACTTGGCCAGTTTACTAAGGATGCTGGGTGATCTCTTGACGGCGATTTGTGATGGTGATCGTTCGATCTCATTGGTGTTCTCCGTAGTAGCTTTCTCAAAGACCTGGAAGCGCGACTTGACGTTTAAGCTTGAAAGTTCTTCGAGTCCCAGATCGGGTTTGTCGGAAGCTGAAATTCAGATGGAAACCTTCTTACTTCCTCTCTTTTAACGATATTCATAGCTGTTCAAACATTTCAACGCCCTCTCTTTTTTTTCTCCGGCGGTAAACTTGTTAGACCACTCGAGAACGACAATTCGCGGAAAAAGCAAAGTTGCACACACTATATGAAAATTCTGAAGAGCATCGGAGAGAGTTAAAAGGACTCATATCGAGAAGAGAAAGTTGAACTTATCGTCGTAATATGATAACAAACTCAGGTCAAACATGAGCCACAGCGTTCAATTTCAAACATCGATCATGTTACGACTCTTACAAATTTCTTCCCATAGATGTCACATCGCATACCACTGCGACGAGATATTATCCAATTGTTTACTCTCGAGAGCTATTGATATATCGTATATAACGTAATATTATTCTTACGATTTACAATCGCACATCTCTCGCAAATAGCAATATTTATTTCTTCATTTCAATCCGCTAACAATTTTGCAAACTACTATATGTATGGCTCTCATATATTTAAATAAATTTTTTAAAAACTCTGACCGAGTTAAATGAGATAAGGAAGACACATAGGCAGATATGTATATACAATATGTTAAGATACTAATTAAGGAGATTTTACTCGTGAGTTTAATACATGGAGCGTTAAGAATATTGTCACTAAATGATGTTGGCCACTTTTTCATGCAGACAAAAAAAATTAATTTTAATATCGAGAGCAGAATTATGTACAAATTACATCTTAATTCTACGGAATGTATCAGTAATTTATATTGCTTTGTAGATCCCGAGAAATGCATGCCGACTAATGAAATGCCCGACGTTAATAATGATTCATGTCCCGTTTTATTAATCGGCACACCAATGCGGGACACGTTACGCGATTTGATGCACAGATAAATTTTCGATTCAGCAACCAATCAATGGTTAAAAAGCCACTCGCAAAAGGGACACATTGAGCGTTAGGAGCAATCGCCAGATCGCGTTCCACGCCACTCACACACGTTGAACGTTGTTGTTGCTGTTGTCGTTACCTCTGACCACATCGGGCGGCAATTCTTTCGGCTCGTTCTCCCGTATGATCAGCTCCGGCTTTCGAGGTCGCACTGCGGAGTTCACAAGACAACTCTTTGTCATTAACGATACCTCTCGTTCTCTCGGCGCTCGGACGCTTGCACGTAATTATACGAGGGGGAAGAGAAGAAAAGAGAACTGTAATTCTAGCCCCTGCACTAAGGGGCTTAATAAACTGGGTCTTAGACGACCCACTGACGACACTCGGGCCCTCTAAGTTATGTCCGCACATTAAGGCAGCCATTACACTGTATACCTGAATTCCATACACTATTGTCTTCATTGCACAGAGAACTGAGACATATTTCTTACCATTATTATTTATCTTTACATCAAGGATGCAATCTTACTTTTATTGTCTACAGTTTTACAAATTCATCATTTGACATATATATATATCGCGCTCTTAAAAGAAAACAAGGAACATATGAATACGTACAATTATGATTTGCAACGACTGGAATTAATCAAGCACGTCGTTAATCGTGGCGCGAAAGGAAATCACGATTGACGACGCCAAGAAAGCAAACTTTATCTCTTCCAGTTTTCTCGTCCATTCCCATATCGAAACATATCTATGTTTTTATATTCCTTTAATACACCCTGACTGAAGATTGGGGCTCACTTTGTCCGCACAAAGTTCGCCTCAGAGAGATTAGCAACGAGATGGAGAGACGATGGAATCCACGGTTGATCGTTTAAACGTCTACGTTAAGATTTAACGAGTAATTCGCAAAGACGATCCATTTAAGTAGATTAATATTGCGCAGGATGGTAATCATCTTACCAGGTTGGTCGGACTCCTCGACCGGTTTCGGTTGGAAGAGTTCCTTGAAGTGTGGCTTACAGTAGAGCTTACTCTCGTGGCTCTCATAATTGTCCACATTGAGCTGCTTACTGCACTGCACGCACCGGAAGCAATTCTTGTGCCAGACCAGACCCTCGGCCTTTGTCTGCTCCATTTGGAACACGACCTTGCCGCAACTGCGACAGTTCGTATTCGCATCGGCATTCTGACCCACCTGCAATGCACCAGTGCGCCAATTAATTAGCACCTTCACAACTTTCACTCTCCCCCCGTCTACGAAGAAACGAGAGGAGGATTCTCTAGGTTCGATTCGATTCGATTAAACGCACGCGTATTGATGTCCCGTACATGGAATTTAACGTAGCTGAATTTATCATTCAAAAAATAATAATTTTATTAAAGCGAGGATATTTAATTTAGGAAAGATTTGATTTTCGAATGTGGAGTAATATCAAAGGAATTAGTTACAAGCAAATTGTTCTACATTTCTTTCGTTTCAAACTACTTCTGAGTATGACTACAAATTAAAACGTCTACGGTTGTAAAATAAAAATTGTAACGACAAATGTTTTAAGTTTAATACAAAATAAATAATAAATACTTACTGCATTCAACTGCTGTTGGACTTTCCCCGCATCAACCGAACGCACATGAAGAACTTTCTTGCTAAGAGCGTCGAATTTATTAAAGCTCGATTTCTGTAAATACAAACGGCGGTAGTATCAGATAATAAGCGCTACAGTCAAGAAGTTTAGAAAGAAGAAAAAAAATAAAAAAAAAAGACTCGAAAATACGTTCCGCAGGCATTTATTTTTTTCTAGAATTATTAACGGAGCAAGAAAATTTTTCAGCAAACCTTTATTATTGTCGAAATAAAATGCAAGCAGAAATAAAAGAAAAAATAAGCAGATTCAAACAAGTCGTCATCATCGTGCGCAATTGGAAACTGTACGTGTAAAATTATTAAATAATTATAAATTGTCCGCATATATAATTGAGATATTCAATTTGTAATAATTCTCATAAAAAATAATTTTGATCAAAAGAAGGCAATATTGTTATGTAATTACGTTAATAACACAATACTATAAACTCCATTTCTACATTGCAATTTCTGATTTGCACGAGGATGACATTTATTTTTTGAGGAAAGATCGTACAAAGGTCTGAAAACGGATAAAATCAATCGTAAGCTAAGCAAGCGAAGCATATGTTTTTATCTTTTCTTGGGAGTAATAAAAGCAAGAAAAAAAAAAGAGGAAAAAATTCGGGTTGTACCTCTGTACGAACCGACCTTATCATGCTAAGGTTTTATCTTTTTTTCCTCGTCGGGGTCTTACCTCGAGCTTCGGCTTCTCGCATGCTCGATCCTTGTCCTTACCCTCGTTCGTTAAACTTGCCAAACTACAATAGGAAGCCCTCTGTCTCCCCAGGGGTTGGTTTCAGTGATTGTCAATTTAGGGTTTCACATGCCGGGAAGAGGTAACGTCGCGCAACAATGAGAAGAAATGGACCGCCCGTTAGTATGGTTTGGTGTAAAAAGAGACACAGGCGGATAAGATTTAAGCCGATTACTGTGTCTCAGGACGCAGCAGTTAGCGGATTTGCCGACATTCCGCAGTTATGGTGTCATCGAACGTCGCGGCCGGCGGAAATTTCAAAATTGCGATTTGCACATAAGTAGAAATATCCCTCACGCGGTTGAGGACGAGCGTGCGTTCTCGGAGGTGGAGACAACGCAACGATGCTTCGGGCTAATATTTACTTTCGAGAGTATCAATTTGTTCCTTTTTCCAAGACCAACATTCTGTTGTACACTTAATAAAACGTATGCATTATGTTCTTGAGACGAACGTATGCAGGAGAAAACGATTTTCCACGAAGAACCGTCGCTGGGTTACCGTCTTTAATATTGCGGCTTAATATTAAAGACATCTGCTATACGAAGCACCGCATTGCTAATCGGTCTTTCCCTAATGCAATTGAATATTGTATTCGCAGCCTGTTTCTCGCGTTGAATTATTTACGATTTCTTGTGTAAAGGAAAAAAAAAAAAGAAATCTTTTTTACCGTGGCAAGCAAGAAAATAAGCTACTTTTGGCTCGTATGGTGTACGTGTGAGGCGTTTTAATCGCTGATCGAAGCTGTGCCAACTGCTGCGTCTGATGACCAAGGAAAAGGAGAACGAACAAAACGAACGGACAAAGAACAACATTGGAAGTAGCGCAGAATTACCGTTCAATCACGTCGGACGATCACTTTGCGTCACAAATTCACTCTTTATCTCAAATTGGCTTTGCTTCGGCATCATCACACGTTATTAAATATATCACGGTGCACTCCTCGGTAAAATAATCGCAAACTTTTAGTTGGTCTACAAGTATATTATCAATCTTCTAACGCAAGTACTTTATTAATGCCATATTTTTATGCGATGTATCATGTTAAGAATCAAGTTATTATGCTATTATATTACAATATATTACGTTCTCTCTTTTCTTAATTATTGGAATAAAAGGAATTTTAAATTAAATATTATAGTTATGTAATTTTTAGGTATGAATAAAGCAAAAAAAACTCATTAAAATGGAAAGTACCACACTTTAAACGTCGTTATTTCAATTCTTGAATTTTAATTTAATTGAAAAACGTAAACATATCGCGTTTATTACTCTTTAAAATGTTTAGAGTAAATCTCACTGTTCAGAGATTAAACATTGAGTCATTCTTCGTTAAGACTGACTCTTTGTTAAGGCTCAATTTTCACTCTTTAAAGTAAGATTCTATTTAAAGAATTTATAAAGAATAATATTTATTTAATTACATGCTTATCATTACTTTTTATTTGTTTTATTTCAGAAGCGATTATAAAATTAGCTTGTTTTAATTTCGCACATTCCAAATAAAAGTAATGACTGACGTTTCTTTGCGACGTTTAACGAGCGTTCTGATCTCGATTAACTAATTCACGATTCACGAGAAAGGTCGACCCGCTTTTCCCGCTTTTCTCTCCGCATTTGCGACGGAAAATGCGAAAAAGCACACGAAATTCCGACGGAATGCATAGGTATTTTAAATGGTGCCTTCTCATCGGGAGGTGAGCTTCACGTCAAAATCCCGATAACCGCGTGACCGATAATATCGGGGCAAAAAACTTGTAATCGACATCCGGACCCTGCGTTTCCCCGTAATCGACTGAAGTAGGGCAAATAAGTAGTCTGTTATTATCAAGTCGGCCCTTCCATAAATGGAGAGACGGCATTCGCAGCGTGACGGTAAACTACTCCGGTATACGTGTGCGGCGAGTTCTCGGAATTCGTAGCGGTGTACTTGACCGAGCATTTATTCCGGAGAATATTTATCCGATATTTATCCGAATATTTTTACAAAGCTCTTTCCATACTATTCTTTATCATTAAATTATTCTTAAAAAATTATTATTTCTATAAGGATTTTCAGCAACGTGAACGTTCGAATACAACGTTCAAGCTACGGACGTTGCGTTCGCTTCGCGAATTTAAATATTCGCAATTAATGCAAGCGCGGTAAATGCGTAATCAGCCGCGCCGCCAAGTACCGTAGGATAGAACGATTACACGCCCACCGCGGGAGGTTCTATAGATCGTTACTCCCGAGTAGAAATTGCCGATTGCGAGCTTTGATAAAGTTCTAGTTTCATTAGACTGAGCTCGCGAACTTTATCTAACGTTATTCCATTCGCTCGACTGACTTCAATGTTGTTCGTGCCGTTTACGAGAGGTACTTACGAGGGCCTTGACCGACACCCTGGCGAAGACGGGTGCGTCTCTGGTAAACCGCGAGTAACCCTGCTCGCATACTCTCAGATCACCCATAGACCTCGCCTTCTACGATCGGGGCGAGAGCATCAACGAGAATACAAATTAGCGGTGAGTCGTTTCGAGAGACGCGAGCTCTGTGAAATATTGATCGCAAGCGATAATGGAGCCGCCTCACCAAATAAAGATTTCATAATCATTAGACGTTTTTTAAAATTGCTAAATAAAAATATTTCAAATTTTGATGATATCTTATTATTTTATTTTTTATTGTCACGAGACCTCGTAACATTATTTGATGTGACGTTAATTAAGAAAATTACGAAATTGTACTTTGTCGGAAATAAACTTTATTATCTCGCGTAAAAAGATAAAAATACTTTCTATAAAGATATAATTACTCAGAAAACAATTGTGCTATTATTAGAAATTTGTGTCACAGAACTCGCGCTCTAGACTATTAGTATACTATCAGGATGTTTATTTGCTTGGAATTTACGTAATATTGTCGCCACATTATAAAGCAAATGTCGAAAATGGCTCATGCAACAACAAAAGTTACACAATGCATTTTTCATTCCTGTCGTACGCCAGAAATTAATTTGCAACATCGTTAATAAGCATTCGCATGCTTGCAAATTTTGCCTAGCAGTTATCGACCCCTTCTTACTTTATTACGATAGAAATCATAAATGAATAAAAAATACCAATTATTAAAATTTGCGAAATATCGCGAAGTATAAATGAAAATTTATTCAAGTACACCTGGTAAAAAATTCTTCATGCATGAACATGTATAAATATGTATAAATATACGTAAACACGTATAAATATTCATTAATTATATATGAAATACATGTCCATACATGTTCATACATTCTTTTTTTTTTTTAAATTACTTTTTAGTGTAACAGAAATAATAATAGTAATGTGAAAACATTAAAAATAATTAAAAAGGAAATTTTCACACTATTTAAAAAAAAAATCAAATTTGAAGAAATGTAAAAAAATTATTTATGTATAATTAAATATAAAATTATGTATGAGCAATTTTTTTTACATTTTTCCAAACTTGTATTTTTCTGAAACAAACAAAAATTATCCCTTTATTTTTTATGTTTTCACATTACTATTAGTATTTTTATTATATATACCAAAAATTAATTTTACAAAAGGAAGAAGAATGTATAAACATGTATGGACATATTTCATATACATGTTTATGAATATTTATGCGTGTTTATGTATGTTTATATATATTTATACATATTCGTACATCAAAAATTTCTTATCGAGATGTAGTTTATTAGAAAAACGCGGCTGCTTCAGATAATTATCATAAAAAAATAATCTCCCTTTAAAAGAATCTTATTGTCTTCTTAAATATACGTTTAAGATTATTATCTCTCATTAAAAAAAGATTGTATGGAAAAAGATTGCTAATTTAAATTAGCCAAAATTTGCACGGCTATTATAACATCGCTTTTACATTTACATTGTACAATTACATCGACCAGGACAAAAACAAACACGAGACATTCGCGATACGTGTTTGGACGAATTAATACAGTATACAAACCTCTTCAATTTCCATCGCATGGCTCGCTTTCCCAAAAGTTGCCTGATCGCCGTCACTCATGTTCGAGATGTCGCCAAAGCTGCGACACTGTTAGTGACAAAATATGTATCTGACAAATGTATCACATAGCTATTAACGAAGCAGATTTGTAGCGAAAGCGTACATTAATTAAATCGATATCTCGTCAATCAAGAAAATTGGCCTTTTTAATTTTACGGAGGAAAGACCGTAACGGAGTAATTGGCGACACTATCTAGCGTGTCTTCTTTATGTGTCTCTCCTTTCATTGCAAACGCGATCATGCCGGCTACATGGTTGTTACTTACTAATTGCTTGATGGACACGCCAGTCGCTATCCGCTCCCTGCACAACTTCTCCTGATCACTACGACTCGTCTCCGAGACATAGTTCTGTGTCTGCATGCGCAAAAAGAAGAACAAAAATGCAAGCGGATCAGTATACATGCAACAACAAACATGTACGTTCGGGACGCAGCCTTACGCGGTCACAAAATAACAATTACGCAAACTACAATTTTTGCTGAATATTTATATTATTTAATTACATATATTATATGTTAATGTACCGATCTTCGCATGTATAATTCGCTCGAACTTACTTTAAAAGGAAAAATATATTTCTTTACTTTGTGAGAACAAATTACAAGATATGCTCGTTATATCGACTCCATTACGCTTGCTTGGGTAAATTTTAACATTCACTGGATCACGCTCGTGCGAGGGTAAAATTACACATGCAATTCCCGAAAGTAACAACGTAATTTCGTCGGTAGGTTTAATCAAACAACATAGGTAACTTTTAATTGCTTAATGGAGTAATTGTACGTTTACTGCGCCCGCCGTTAATTATTTAAAGTCCATGTTAGCCGTTCTTTCATATCTAGTAGATCGCTTGGTGAGTGGCCGGGGTCAGGAAATCTCTATTCGCGCGCCTATTCATCTCGTCGACTGACGAGAAACAAAGCTAGAAAATAGTACTTGCATCTCGCATAAATGCAACGCGTGAATAGCGCTCGTCTCTGGGAAACAGTTGTGCCGAGAGAAGTCAGGAAAACGAGAGGAAAAAGGAATGTCTGAGAATAGAGAGCGTTCCGCAAGATCTGCCTTAAATGTCAAAAGTGCTCTTTACGATGAATTCTATGTTAATCCTCTAATAATTTGAACGTAAGCTACTCTCATACTAAAGATTAATTTCTAAGACGCGTAATATCCATTAATAAAATTAGATCGACACTTGTAAGTGTCTGAGGATCAAATTACATTTCTGACTGTAATTGTTGGCGTGTGTAATTTGCAGTTAATTCTCAGATACGTACGCTTCAGCGCAACTTACCAGTGACTTAACATTGACGTTCGATAAATCGTCCTTGGCGGAAAAATCGATCATCTCCGAATGCGATCGCTGAGTGCCCGTATGCATGCTTGCGTCTTGTAAGCTACAGTTCTGATGGAAAAACAAAAGAAACACGAACACACTGAGCATGCAACTGCATGAGAGATTAATAAGCTGCGTCTACTTGCTAACTTGCGCCGAGCCGTTAGTCGAGTACGATAATCAAAGGTAGAAATAATTAATTATTACACGCTCCACGTCGAGTCTGCCAATCATTTATGACACATTCTTCACAATTCAATTTTTAGAAATACAATCAGAGACACTTTAAATCCCACTGAATCATGCTTATTTATGTTTCCTTAATAAATTATAAACTTTGTCCATTTTGTTTCTTAATTTTTATTTTCTTATTCATTTTTACATTGTCGATCACTTAACATTGAACTCTATCTTTAATACTGACTGTATCGTTTTATACTACGCCTGTGATATTTTAAATTATTAACTATTTTTTGCTACTTTTGATGTATTTTTTTCAATATTTATACGTATTATACAAAAAGCTTTCGTTAGCCAATTTTTTTACCTTGCACAGATGTAAGCTTCTTTTAAAAAAATATATAAATAATTTGCTACACGATCTCGTCCGCACAGACACACGCACGTAATTAGATGATATCATACAAAAAAGCATTCATGAAAAAAGAGATACATTTACACATAAGTATAATCTATATTTTTTAATAAAAAATATAAATGTAATAATGATACAGTAATAGCACAAACTCAATGCTTTTCTTCATCGTTTAACTGATCCAAATGTTAAATATATTATTTAACAAAGTAATATCGTCTAATTATTTTCTTTTCTACCGATGTTAACATCATACATGATTTTCGAAACGGAAGTAAGCTGCTCCACTGCAGCTTGACTGTAATTGCGCGCAGAGGGACGAGTCCCGCAAAAAGGAAACGTCGCAATCTCGATCGATATCGTCCGCGCTCTACTTAATAGCGCTCCGATATCTGTCGCGATCACGTATCAGATCCCTGATTCCAAGAAGAGCGTCAGACGGTAGAAAACTCGCTCCTATCTGTGCCGACGAAATCCGGAAAAGCCAGAGCGAGCCGACGCATGCAGATGCGATACCAAAAGCGCGAGCTTCCGGTTTTCACCGGCGCGACCGCGCCGGTGGCGAGTTTTACCGGGTAACGTGATAATTAGCGTGATAACGGTTCCACGCACGGTGATTTCGTACTCGCGCATCTCGCACATGTCGGAGAACCGCCCTCAATTATATCTCTTGAGAATAGCGGCCGGTATGACCAGCGTTTACTTGATGAAAAATCGCGCTGACATATATATACACATGTATACGCGTATGTATATATATATATATATATGTCTTGTCAATAATCAATATAGAACGTAGCAAATTAATAGGTACAATATAGTCGGGTGACACAGCATGTCCCAGAACAATCGTGGTTTTTCTTCATTCACCGATCATCCTTTTACCAATCCGATAAATCGTTCTCAATCGAAAATGCCGATAAACCGATAATAACGACGTGGCTTTCACAGTGGATACGTAGAAGTCCGATTTTTTTTTGTTTCGATCGATACCACGTGAAGTTTAATTCAACAGAATTTTCTGATACCCTATCAAATTTTCATTCGAGCAAGACTGCCACGCTACGACGATTAGAGAACACGTACCGGTGAAAGGATAGCTGCGGGACATCCCGTGCACACGTGCGCGTCTATCAAAACGATTTATAACTCACCACGGAGATGTTCTCCTTCTCGAGATCGCTCTTCTTGCTCTTCTTGGTTTTCTTTGTGCGCGGCGTAAGGTTCGGCGAGGTGGCATCGTTACCAGCAACGCCCTCGATCTTCTTCTTCTTCGTTTTGGTCCCACCTTTCGAGGAGGTCACCACGGTGGAACTCGCGGTCACCGTTTCCTCGCGGCTTTCGCTCTACGATGAAAGAAAGAAAAGAGATACATACGTTATTACATTTGAAAACGTTCCGAATGATTTTTTTCAACGACCCTGACGCGAAGATTTCTCGAGTCTCGAACGATTAAAGTAGACACTTGGGTCATGATTAAATGTTTCTTTCGCGATCTAACGTAGGCGGACACACGCGCGGACTTCAGGAAAGGAATATAGACTTGGAAGAACTAGATTTAGCATACGCCATTGTGCCGCTAAGATTCAATGGTCTTCACTGCGCACGCCGAGATAGGTGAAACGCGGTCTCTGCGGTCCGAAACGCGGAAGTTTACATTCGCCTAACAAACATGATTTTCAAGCGATAATATCGATTTCACGGTGTGGTAACGCAATATTTCCGTCGAATGTAAAAGTGCAGTGGCAGTGAAAAGAGTAACATTAGCGTGCGCATTACGTTGTCTTCGCCTGCTTTTAACGTTCGGTCGGATGTTCTTCTCTACGAGAGATAAATCTTCATCCTTTCACGCGCGGAAGAGTTTTTCTGAAATATATTTCCTATCCGACGCGTAATAAAATCTCGGTCTTAAACTATTACGGATTAAACGTATGGAAAACGAAAGCTGGATTGACGTCAAGCGCGCTGGAGGATAAATTAAATTTCATGATTTTTGCTAAGAGCGTAGCCAATTTCATGATGGAAAATCGAACGTTTTCTTTACCTTACAGATTATAGCTCCAAAATTCGTTCTGACATAAATTCACATATCACGCACTTTATTTCCGTTTTTATTTCCGACGATCTGACTCATTCTCGTCTCATGCGAGACGTACGTGAGCGTGCATAACGCGATCGACGCATTAGTTAGGCAAGATTTCAGACGGAATATTTGTTTAACCGCACGGCTTCGCTTACGAGCGAAACTAGTCCGATATCGTACAGCGCAATTAAAACGTCATTCGCCTACGTGATTCTCGGCTCAACTCATAATTGTCCGGCTGGTAATAATCTTCGCTTTTTTACGATAACACGATACGAGGAGTAATTACCAAAAGAATGCGAGATAAGAATGCAAACAAAGTTGGAGAATTATAAAAATTGGGATTATAGATTAGAGAGAGAAAAAACCGTGTCCTCTTCTCCGTTACGAGCACGGCGATTTGGCTTCACTGCCGTCGAAACACGAAAGCAACGGCTTGTTCAGACGCGGGTATTAGAAACGACTGATAAGAGCGTCAAGTTTTCATGGCTCCAACGATTTATACACGATGTCGTAATTGCCCGACAGCTATGGCCGTCCGACAAGGAAGATTTCCGATAAGCCGCACGCGCGAAAAGCAATACTCCGGAACGGAGTGTGAGCCATGCGAGCGTAGTAAAACGCGACATAATGCGTACCGACACAATCTCAACCGCGACGTTAGACTATTAATTATCGAGAAATTGGCAAGAGGCGCGATTATGTCATTATTATATCTATATATATATATATATATTTCAAAATTAACAAACGTAAACAATAAGATAAGAGATACAAAAGGCAGAATATGATGCATAATTTTTAAGCAAAACGCTCCATATATAAAAAATATTTTAATTAGGAATCCTTTTGACAAATGTCTATTGATAAACTCTTGTTTAACAAAGAAATGAGGAATAATTGTAATAATTCGACTAAACTGTTATATTTTCTTATTTTAAATATTTAACAATGAAGAAATTTAAAGCGACTTTGAGAGAAACCACATGAAACGTGCTCCGCAAGCTGTCACTTTAGAATAATCCTGGCACACTTCCCAACACTTCCCAATCCTTTCTCAAGGTCCTTCCGAATAATTGGAGCTCGCAACAATTTCCCTGCGATCATCAGCGGTTTACGGTACTCCACATATACTTACACACTCTCTATTCGAGGCACAAAAGCGAAGTTTCGAGTTTACGCTACCTCGATTACTCTCGTCTCGTCTCGAGAAACCGGAAGACAATCGCTTCCGACGTTCTCCACGACGTACTCGCTGAGAACTTTCACGTGAAAGCAATATCGATCACATCACCATCAGTTCACAACTTGTATCACCCCGAACGCACAATTTGGTCCCTTCTTCTGCGGACTTATCCGACGCTGGTCCAAGCAGCCTCTAGCACCGACACCAGCCACGCATTCAGAATGACGAACGCGCGTCCACCTTGGCAACGGGGTCGACGAAAGCCGACGAAGGACAGAAGGAGAAAGAAAGAGCGGTCAGAGCTGAGTTTCAAGCGCGAACGAGATGGCTGGTAACCGAGGCGAGAGTGGGAGCAAGCTAGAGAAAAAGAGAAAGAGATAGAAAAAGGAGGAGAGAGAGAGAGAGAGAGAGAGAGAGAGAGAGAGAGAGAGAGCGAGGGAGAGAGAAATAAGAAGAATACAAGGAGAGAAGACCAAAGGAAAAAAGGCGAATGTTCTTGTTCAACGACCGTGTCGTCTGGTGCGCGCACCTCCCCCGCTCGCACTTGAGTTTACCCTCCCTCGCAAACTTTTGTCGCGACCCTGCGGCAGCAGTTAGGTCAAGCCGATTCGTCGTCCAGGTCGTACCTGATCGATGATCATCCTCGAGATCACTCCTCGGGAAACGTGAACGAACGACCGCTCTGCGTGATGCCTCAGAGATGTCTGAGGTACCGAGGAGAGCGTGCGTCTCGTAACGGGTTCAGGAAACTCGATGCTCTCCAAAGCGTAGCACGCAGCATGCGGCTTTCCGCTGCCGACGATTGGCCGTTTCCACCAGGCACGTGGAGCCGGTTGGCTTCAGGTAAAAGAACTCGGATTCTCAGCTGCTCGGCGAGCAGAACCGTGGCAGAACCTCGCCGAGGCGAGGAATGTTTCAAGAGGAAGCGACAGGAGGATTGTGACGCCGTTAAGAGGTTGTGTGCTTTGCGTACGATTGACTTTGACGTGATCTCGATCTTGATCGGCCCTTAACTAGGCGACTGGGCAAGTGGCCTCGGCAGTTTCGCTCCAGGAGCTTGATTAATTTTTTTTTCAAATATTGTAAATATAATATATAGTTTCAAGATCTAATTTGCCAAGAACAAGTCGGCGTCGACGAGTGAAAATAATTGTTTATTCGCAGATAATCGCTGACTGTTCCGTTTTAAATCCTTTCCGTCGTTTACCATACTAGCAGTGAGATTAATCACAAAAACAGGTTATCTTTCCTTAAATCTACACCGTATTTACGGATAATGAAGGTAGGAACCAAAGAAGTAAATCGCTTAAGATATAATTATCAAGCTCAGCAAACTGCTCCGTACGGAATACAGAATGTATGAGTTTGAGAGATCGCTACCAATTAAGGACTAAAAGCGTCTCGAGTTTTCGAAGACTCGAGTATCCCACGTATTTCAATTCGGTCGAGTATACGAATACTGAATCACTGTTACGAGCAGTGTTTCGCGAGTTGATACGAAATTCATGGCGATAAGCCGGCTTCCGTTGTGACTGCAGATCTTGCATTTGCATGAGATTTGTGGTGTGAGCGATCGTCACGCGCTGCTGACCATAGAAGAGTGTACACCTTCAAGGGTATCGAGGAGATAAAGGCAAATAATACACATTTACGATTTGCGAGTAACGAATTGTTGCGGAAGGCATGTCGAGTATAATATCGAGGTTGCGATTACGTATAGAATATATCGACTATCATAAGAAAGGGGAGAATCAATTATTCGGACGCGTATTTATATGTGATTACAAATGTAATCACATGATGTGACGAAGATTAGAAAATTAATCAAATAAATCGACAGGGTTGATGCTATTCCTTTAGCGATTTGCGGTGCTATAAATAGTAAGGGGAACATAAATTTACTAAACTTAGCGTATCGATACCGCGGATTATGCGAATACCCGCGGGCATTCGCGGGAATCCCTTACCTGGAGGCTGTCCGATTGTCGAAAAAAAATATTAACGAGATTAATCGTCCTAACACGTGTAAAAATATGCGTAGGAGTTACGTAGAGCGATGGCGCAATTAGTCTTGCAGAAATTGCTAGGAGGATCGGATCCACAATGCGCTCGCAGGAATTATCCGATGCAAGCAACAACCTGAACGCTGTTAAGTTATGGCGCTTGTATTTCTCTTGCGCAACGTACGGAATATGAGTACCCGAGAGACGCGTTTCTACGCCGAACGTTTGCAGCTTTACGTCACAAGCGCGAAGCAACCCTATCGATATCAAGGCACATAAGTTATACAGAGTGAATTAAATAACGAAATAAAGGATTCTTTCTAAACATAATAAACAAAAATAAATATCGGGCGAAGTAACAGTCAAACACATTTCTTCCAAATACACAAAAATATATATTACATTAAAATTAACAGAGATAAAAAATTATTACATAACGCAAAAAATTGGAATATAAATTAAGAAATGATTAAGGTTACAAGTTTCGGCTACCGGTTTGAGCCCTCTTCGAAAAAATGACAGAATAAAATAAAATCAATTGTCGCAAATGATCGCATATTCAGAATATTCACAGTTCGGGTGAGTCTCAATCTCGAAACATAATTTCCGTATGATTGAACAGTCAAAAGTATTAAAAATGTCTTGGTAAAGTTCAGAATTCATGTGTAAGAAATTTAAATTAATATGTCTAAAAAAAAAAAAAAAAAAACTTATGAAATATGTACAGTAAGAAGGAGCGGAGATATGTAAGACAGACATTACGTGTCGATTCTTATGTACGTTCAGTAGTGCGGATCAACACAGACCTTTTATTTTATTCTGTCATTTTTTCGTTATACTAATGTCTGAAGAGGGCTCAAACCGGAACTAGCCGAAACTTATAACCTTAATCATTTCTTAATTTATATTCCAATTTTTTGCGTTATGTAATAATTTTTTATCTCTGTTAATTTTAATGTAATATATATTTTTGTATATTTGGAAGAAATGTGTTTGACTCTTACTTCGCCCGATATTTATTTTTGTTTATTATACAGAGTGTACAAAAATCATTCAGCATTTATATAATAGATAGTACACATTATATTATCTACCATGTAAACACTAAATAATTTTTTTATCATCCTATATAATCTGAATTACGGTTAAAGTAAAAAACATTACGACGTTCAGAATTATAGCGTGTGATTTGATTGATAATTTTAATGATAAGCAATACCACACCAAAAAAAACGATTAATTTTTAAAAGGTGCAATGATCTCGCTCGTGATGTTGACAAAAATGGAGCAAATCAAGCATTAATTATTACGTCGACTCATAAGAGCTATTATTCCTACCTGTACAAACAAATGCGGTGGCTCGAAGGAAAGTGCTTGTGCCCTCATTCGAGGCTGTGAATTTTCTCAACGTTTTACATTCATGAGAAATATTACACGACGTACACGTCATCGTCACAATGTTACGATAATGACATATTAATTAATTTTACTGTGAAAATAGTCGCGAGTGCGAAGTTTCGATTTATGCAAATGTAAACAAGACAACTATTCATAAGATGTAAAAAAAACTTTAAAAAACAAGAGGACCGGTATTTCATACAAGTTCACAGTTTTTCTTATTACATATTTAAAACTGTCTTCAGTATATATACAATTTTAAGATATATGTGTATGTTATAAGCTAATCACAGGACGGTATTAATAATTCGTTCTTATTTTAAGACCGTCTTAAAGTTTAGCTTAAAATCGTATTTAAGAACAGTCTTAAATATAAGAATCGACTAAAATACCGCACACAGTCGGTATTAATATCTTAAGATATTACGTAAGACAATCTTGAAATACAAACAGAGTACACCGGCCAAAATGTAACATTTTCGCGGATGTCGTTAAAATTCTTGTGTGATTAACCAGAGAGATTAGTTAAATCTTAAAAACCATTATAAAGCCGTTATTAGAAATTTGCCGTTAATCAAATATTGGCCACAAATCAATTCAGTCGTCGCAGATATGCGTTATACGCAATATTACACCCAGTGTCCTTACACCACGACGTCCGTATCGACATTTTCGCGTCATTCCTTCGAGCCGCTCCTTCGTCGCTCGAGCGGGCGTCGAGTTAATTCACGAAAAAAGCACACTTACGTCACAGGCGTTAGAAACGTCGCTCGTCTCCGTCTCGTCCGGCGTGGCCAGGGGCGCACGGGGGGACGAGGGTGCAAGGTAATCGTCTTGCTTCCCTTCGTTATCGTCCCTCGTCGCGTCGTTAACCGCGTCACGTTCCGCCGCGGCTGGCGCATCCTTCGGTCGTTCTTCGGCGTCTGCCGATTTTGTGGCCTCCTCGACTGTGGTCCACGAGTCGAGATTCCCGATCTGCTCGGCGACGAGTTGTCTCGTCTCCGAAAAGATCGTCACGCTCGTGTCGGACACTACAATCTCGGTTTTTTCGATGAAAGTCGAGTCCGACGCCGAGAACTCGCTCGAGGATTCGTCCACCAGATTTTGCGTATCATCCGCAACGAGACACTCTGGCGACTCGTTTTCCAGAATCGATCCCGGCGTTACCTGAGATTCGGTGATCTCTGACGATATCACGATCTGCGGTGGTTCCTGATCGATCTCTTCGTTTAGCACACGGCGTTCTATGTCGAGGAACTCCTGCGTGCTGGCCATCTCCGCGGACATCTCGGACTGGCAGACGTCGTCGGAGAAACGAGAGTCCTCTGGTTTCAAATCGATCTCTTCGATCGTTTCGGAGAGCGGCGATTTATCCCGATGGATCGGCGACGTGGGAATCTTCTTTTCCTCCTCGGCAGAATTGTTTGCATAGGAATCATTAAGCGTATCGATATGTTCATTCGTGGAAGACTCTTTATTCGTCCAAGGGGATTTCAATTTGTCAAGGGTTTGACGCTGTATATAGAGCTCATCTTCACAGTTGTAGAACCGACCGCTCTGTATACCACTGTACAGATATGGCGTCTGGACAGTCCGTACGTCCGGAATATCTATATCTGCGTTCTTTCTTTCCCGTTCGACGTCGGTGTGAAGGAGATCTACATCATCGAGTGTCTTCGGCACCAAGTCTTCTTCCTCCCGCTGATGTTTGTCCACGGGACAACTGACAGAAATCGGGAAAGACTGGGAGTTCGATTCATCTACGTGATCATTTGTGACATTGCCAGAGTCTGTATCATCCGCGGGAGCAACAGCTTCCTTGACAATCGCCTGACACTCCTCACTGTTGCTGCTAACATCGACAGCTTCGTCGCGGCTTGACTCTTGATCACCTTCGTTCGTTTTCTGAATAATTATCGGCGCAACACCAGCTTCCGGCTGCTCGACAAACGCCTGATCCTCCTCTTCGTCACGGAAACGTACCGGTTCTGGTTTTACAACTTCGATGTTGACGTGCGGGGACACGTGACCATTCCGATGACCGTACGGTTCCTCGACTAAAGAATAGTGCCCGCTCTCGGCAGCTATGAACTCCGCATTAACATCAACGGGATCTTGCCGACAGTCCAGGACGATTTTCTTGATTGTCTCCGGTTGAGTGATGACATTTTCGGTTTCTTCGATGACGGCGTCATCGTCGTCCTTACTCGAGCAGATCCTCAGGGCCAGTTCACTCTCTATCAGCTCCTGCAGGCTCTTGTCGTCGTTCTCAAGCTCGTTACGTGTATTGTTTGTGAGTACGAGATCGTCATCGTCGCACAGTGAAATTAGTTGAGTGTTACTCGTGGTTAGATCATCCAAATCAATCAAACCATTGTTAGATTGAACACCGCACACCTCGTTCTTCTTGCTACTTACTACATTGATCGACTTCTTCGTCGCCACCTCCGCCATTGTGGTTCCTCGTGTGATCACACCGTGGACACCTGGAAAAAGTTTCGATTGTTTTAGATCATCAAGAAGATTAAGATAATTTAAAAACGTATAATGTAAAAATGCCTCTTTTTAATATACTTAAGTAATACTAAGGTGCAAATTACGCAAGTACCTCTTGAGAAACGTTAATGCGATAGTCCTATTAAATTCTTTTATACATATTTCTTCAATATCTTAATACTTTTATAAAAAATATATTAGAATAATAAAAAAATTAGCTCTCTCTCTCTCTCTCTCTCTCTCTCTCTCTCTCTCTCTCTCTCAACGTCTTTTCTCTTTGTCGTACACAAGAAGAGTATAAATTTATAGAAGTGACTATAGATTAATACAGAGATGAAACTGGGCAACGGGAACGCAAAATGTAGGATCGATAAATAATACTTATGCGCAACCGGTTTCCCTATGTAATTTCGAGCTAGAAAGTGCGAGATAAAATAAAAATTCTTCGGGGTGCGCTACTGTGAAACGAAAAAAATGTAAGGAACTACGTGTCAAATTAACGTTCTAAGTGACACAATAAAATAAATTAATATTTTAATTAATATAATAAAAATGACATTTATTTCGTTAAAATGGCATTTTCTATATTGAAACATAAAAACACACATGGTACATCCGTATATTCTCATAAAAAATAAATTACACGTATAGATATTAATATAAAGATTGACTTTACAAATTCTCCCAAGGATGAAAACTTTTATTTAAATATTCTGTAATTCTCTTTTGCAGTTTTTCTAATCTTTTCATAATTATTGATTACGGAGATATTTAATACTAGAAATACTAAGAGGTCATTTTTGACTGTTTTTATTTTTAGAGTAATATTATATCTCTGTAAAAGATAGAATTCCAAATTTTTTTTGTTTTCAATAATTATGTTTTTCATATTGAAATATTTTTAGTTCTTCATCATTTAAAAAATTTTTATGATAATTTATTCGTTTTCCCTTTTATAATGAATAAAAAACGTTAGTACTCTTTTAGTGTTAATATAATTCAATATAAACCGTAATATTGTATGATATATATGTGGCAATAATTTAATGTCTCTATATAATCCGTTTTCTATTCGATATAATGTGAGCATGTGAATGCGATCTTCTCGACCCGCGCAATTGACTTTCTTCGTGTCGAAATACAAGGAAAGCTCTTCAAGTACACGTATGGCAAACCATCTGCCACTCGATAAAGTAGCGCCGGTTTATGGTTATGCAAAAGAAAATCTGCACAAGTGGTCATACAAGATCATGGTCAAATGGATATGTAACGTGCCTGTCAGGCAACTTCTGATCAATTCAATATTGCTCGCCGAAATTTCGATCTTGTTACAATTATTATAATTTTACGGGCGATGATATATCATTAAAGTTACGAGGAACTATTATCCGGCAAATGCTCTCGTACAATGTAAATTTCTGTACATTTTTCTATTGCATCCATTCATATTACACTAAATTTGCATAAAAATCTAGATAACAAATTGAAAGAATAAATCACATATATGACAATTTAAGTATATTATAATTTATATATTATAATTTATAGATATTAAGTTTTTTTTAAATAGATATTGAGTTTTTTTTAAATTTGGACTCTAAGAATATATACCTACATAATTTATAACAAAAATTTCTTTTCGATAATAGCGTTTTAATTTTCTAGAGTATCGTATTTTTGGAGCTCCGTTACTACATTTAGTAGATATGCGCTTTCGAGAGCCTCTCGGTCCCGCTTATGAAATCGCGGAAACCGTCGCGGTGGAATGCGTGCTGTCTTAATATTCTCATACGCGGATGTGTGGGTACCAAGACGCACCAGGAGCACCAAGTCCGTCGCGATATTAACGGAAGTTACGCCTCTATAGGACTCGGTCGCGACTGCAAACCGGCGTTGTTGGCTGGTAAGCCAACCCTCCTATTATTAGCCATTCTGCAACGTTGCGTTTAAGCTTCTGCGACGGAATGCACTTTCAAAATATGAAATCCAAAACTGTTGAAAAATATTCTGAGAAAAAGAAAAAAAAACCGTTATTCATACCTGCTTCTACGTCCAAAGCGTTAAATACATATTTCAATAATCAAAACCCAAATCGAGATTATTATTGAAGATAAATAAAGACAACGACTCCGCTATTTGAAATTGCCTCGAGTTTCAATTTGTAATTAAAAAATTATGGTAATTCAGGTTACGTAGCGTGCGAATTGAAAGTAGAAAACAATCTTGCAATTAGAAAGGTATGGCGCCTTGCGTCCCAATTCATTTACGGCGTTTTACTTTAATGAACATGCATCTTCCTACTTGGCTGCTCGAACGCTGTAACTCTCTTCGGTAATTTGACAAAATTCCAGCGCTGCGTACACATATCCCCAGCCGAAAGAGTTTATAAACAGAGGGCCACACGGTGGCCAGCTCGATCCCATCCAGTAAACCGACACTATCCGGAGGGTTCAAAATTAGAAAGTGGCAATCTCACGCATCTCTTCGCCGCGCGCACTTCTTGGTTTCTCTCCATTTTCGAGACAGGACGATGTCCAAAATCGCGGGTGAAATTTTTAAGGTGTCCGCTGATATCTTTGTGTTCGCAATATCGCCTTTGAATCTCTTTTTCGCGCTGTTTAATTTAATATCCCTCCCCGTCCTCACATCGTTCTCCCGCGATTCTATCCTGCCTTTTCTCCTTCTCTTAACGTTCTCGTCTAACCTGCTCTCTTTCTTTCTTTCTCACTCTTTCTCTCTTGCTCGTTTCTCTTTACTCGACGTTTCACCGAGGTCGTTCCTCGGGTTCACGACCGAGACTATGGAGGTACTCCTTCCCTCTCTCTCTCTCTCTCTCTCTCTCTCTCTCTCTCTTTCTCCTTTTTCTCCTGCGTCTCTTTCTCTCCTTCAGCTTCTACGTAGCCTCTACTCTCCTTCTGCTTCCATGCCTTTCCTCTCGTCCTGCCACCTCTCGTTCTCTCGTGTCTTAGCTTCCTTCTCGTTTCAACCTCTCTCTATTTTTAGAATGACACACTACCGCAATTCAAAGATGATGTCCGCACGCTGGACACATCTCGTCCTCGGAAAATGTTCTGCCCAAATGCGGCGTGCGAACGAGAGTGAGCGTTATGGAAACCGAGAAGAAAGAGGTAGAACGAGGGGCAATGAGAGAATTTTTTTCTTACTTAGGTCAAACGACAGATGCACACAATATGCACCCTACCGTGCTGTAAGGCCGAGTAACCCTCGCCCAAGTCGCAAGAAAAGTGAAACTCAAGAGATTGCCAGAGCAAATTGTGAGGTGAGAATTATAAGCGAGGTTTAAGAAGCCAAAGAAAAATTTCAAAGAGACAAGACAGCACGAAGATATGGACAAAAAGTCTCGCGAGAGATTAACGTCTGAGTTCCAAGTTTCATTATTAAAGCGTTTCGAAAAAGATTGATAAAAAAAAAAAAAAATACGGAAAAAAAATCTCGCGAGAGATCAATGTCTGAGATTCAAGTTTAATTATTAAATTAATTCCAAAAAATTGAGCAAATATTAAAAGTAGAAAGAAGATCGTATTCAAAGTCTTATCGCAGAGGATCGAATTACATGTTTCGAGAGTTTTTAGTTCCAGTTTAATTATAATTTATTATTAGACGTACCCGGTACATAAAAATTATAAGAGCTTTGTGTAATATCACGCTAATAAAAGATAATTGATCACGCGATCAAATTATGTATCGGATATATATTGTAAAAGTCCAGGGTCCACGACATGCGTTTTACGGTGAGAGACGACGGATACAATCGCAATGTAAATTACCGTAATAAATAGAGTCTTGTTTACGCAATTAAGTTCAAGAAAAATGTCGCTAAGGTCGAAATAGCTAAATCTCACATCGGTTCCGTGTTTCGTGCTTAAGAATCGACACGAATCAATGAATGCACGCGAGAATGCATTGCACATGCCGTTGTCTCTTTTCGTGGTCACTTATAATGTTGCAACCATATTATGGTACAAGTGCGCTCCGCTAAGTATACCTCAGAATATACCGATCCTATGGCGTGCATAGTGTAGAAACGCGAGATTCTATGCGTTCATAAGAACATTCTTCCGTTCGTACACCCACGATTTACTGAACGCCACGCTGCGGAAATTAAATTCTCGAACGGTACCGAGAGCTGGCACGGTAAATACCGAACGCGGTCAATGAGATAATGAGCGAGTCCGCGATTACTTTCGATAAATTTCATTGAAGTGCTGTTGAAAACATTTTCTAGTCATATATAAGTAAAATGTCTATATAAGCCTCTGTGATTGTTAGTGCATAAATCACATATTTATAAAGTATAATTCGCAAATAATTGAAATGTACTTACCAACTAAATTAACTGCAACTTTTACAATTAACTTAGTTGATAAGTACGTTCCAATGGTTTAACAGTTATACCTTATCATCTTATAAATATATTATTTACACACGAATAACCGCGAAGGCTCATATAGGTGTTTTATTTTGGTATATTTCATTTATTCTTGGAGCTATAAAATTATTTTTATTTTTATTTCTAGTCAATACACTCGCGAAGATACTGAATGGCGAACATTTTAAATCCTAATTAATTTTGAGTTCGTGCGAATTAGCAAAATCAACATTTATTTAATTATGTTTCAATTAACTTGTAATTAATCCTTAACAAGCAATAAGTAAGAGCAAGAGTTCTTTTCATTTGTAAACAAAACATCATGGGCTTGTCTTATTGTTAGTCATTTAAATCTACTAACACGGTATGGGAATCGCGTGAAGTGCTAGGTGAAAACACCGACGATTAATCTAAATGATGTGATTTAAGGAGTACACAACGCAACGTTTCACCTGTGTAAAGAATCATCGTGTCAGATGACTGCGACCCCGTGTCCTACGAAGATGTAATAGCTTTCTGTCCGTAATCAATAATGTAAATTTTACTTCTCTGCTTCGCCCAGAGACTGATGAATAATGCAGACGCTTCTCTGTCTGGATT